TAACAATAATGCCAAACAACTCAGTTTCATACCTAGTTATGTTGCTACACGTGATAGACAGATTGACAAACGACGGACAGGACAAGTTTCCATAAATATAAACATTTTGGGATGTAAAATATTGATTCATTGATCTTATCAAGTCACTGGAGTCCGCATCAGTAGTAAATGCGAACAGAAAAATAGAGTAAAAAAGGAAGAGAAGACCTCGATAGGTAAGTATGTGAGTCTGTAGAGTGATGAAAAATATTAAGTTCAACTTAAGACATTTAAGAGGCGCTGTTAGAACGGTTAATTGATCGAAAAAGCAAATTTCGAGTCCATAACTGCAACAATACTTTATTTTTGACCGAAGCTAATGTGTGCGTAAGACAAGGCTGCCTACTCTCACCGGAGATATTTCTGATTACGGTAGTGCACTGGATCGTATGTGTGTGAGAAGACAGAATTACGTCGGTAAAAAAAAACAAGACTCCAGAAGATCTGGGCTTTACCGACAATTTATATTTGATTTCGTCACAAACCACCAAGTTGGTAGAAGAGCCTGGCAGCAAAGACATGATTGCAAGTGAACATAGTTAAGATGGAGGTGATGTAGATACACGATGGTAAATTGAAAAAACCCATCACCACCAACGGGAGAAATATAAAAGAGGTCACTTCTTTGACTTATCTAGGCAGAATCATTTCTACTGTAGGCGGAAGGGATGAGGATATCAAAAGTAGAATAGAAAAAAGCAAGACAGACTTCGGTCAATCTGAAATCAGTTTGGAAATCTACTGCACTCAGTGCAGGGAACGAAATTCACGCACCAGACCCTCGGGTGAACTTTGAATGGCTGTGAGACCCGGCCATTGAGAATGGAAGACATGAAAAGATTAGCTGTCTTCGATAATAGGTGCCTGCGCTCTATCTCCCGTGTGAAGTCGTATAATGGGGTGAGCAATATTGAAGTTAGGCACCTGTCGAGTGCTAGGTAAGGAGGGGAAATCAATCGACGAGGCTGTGAAGTTACACCGATTGAGCTGGTTAGGACATGTGTTACGTATGCCGGGTCATCGCCTTCCTCGACAATGGGCAATGTTAGCTGACATAGTGTCAAGCTGGAAAAGAGCCAGCTGTGGTCAAACCAAAACATGTCATCAGTCAGTGAAATCCACAATTTAGTTTAGGCCACGTAGGAAGATGTAGAATTCCTGGTTGGGGTCCTCGGGATGGTAAAAACCAATGGTTGAAAACAATTGGTGATATAGTTCAAAATCGTTCTCAATGGCGCAGATGCATCCTCTCCTTGTGACTTATGATTTCAAGTGAAACTAAATCTTTCTTCTTTATTACTATTCCTTTGTCTCACACCTCTGTTTACTGTCTCTATTATGCATTTCTTCTCTTGCTTTTTGTGGTACAAGGAGGTAGTGTGGCGACTTGAACTGCTGCACATCGGTACAAAGTTCTATGTTGAAAACAGACAGATAATGGTAGAGTGAATTTTCTTGTAGTCTTTGACGACGGTTTCTTGTTGGTGTGATGACTCGAGTTTTAACACTTTTTGGTGAAATTGTCAGGATATTCATTCACTTCGAAGACGGTCAGTAGGTATTTTTCTCTCATTTTCTTCAACACGGGAGTGCTACAGTGAGTGTGAACTCTTTTAAACAATGTTTGCACACAGTTTCTTTTATCATTATGGTTAATTATTTCATAGAACTTATTCTGAAATGACCTAAAAAGTCGATGAAAATTAACCATTCGATAATTGCATCACTTCCAATTCGGATGACGGCAGATTGATGGGCGTCAGTTAGAGAATCATCGAAAACCAGCAGCAGAGAGTATTGCATAGCTGCCTTGTCCTAGTCTTGGACTCTTCAACAGTACATTCCATTGACTCCATCAGGAATCGAGCGGGTTCGCCTTGTAACCTGAAGGTTCTGGATTCAATCCCTTAGTAGTGATGATGGGTCATGTGGTTGTGCTGATGAATAGTCTCAAAGTAGGGGGATGGAAAAGATGTTTAGTACTCCCTGTCGCTGGTTTCCAATGGCCTTCTCTAGCACTGATTAATGTCACTTCATCATTGAATATGAAAACAATCGAATTATTTGAGATTACACTAGTTTTCATTGAACTAATGGGATATACTCGTTAAATCACAGAGAACAGAGAAGCAAGACGGTTTCAGTGAAAAAAATATTTTCCTTTTCGATGACTTTGTCATAAACTAGGTTCTGCATTCGTGAATCAGTATATAACAAAGGGGTGGTGAGAAAGTCCCAAAAGTATTTGTGGTCAGAAGTCAAAATTGAACGAATAACAAGTTAAAGTTACAAACTACTTTACTGAGGAAAATGAACAAAAAGTTTCGATCATTATGATTTTCTATAAGATATATAGACTGTTCGTGATGGCCCCAGTAAAGAGAAAGGCTGGATGAACTTCTTTTAGATACATAGTTATGTCCCGGTAGCTTCATTAGCAACGCGGAAATTCAAGTCGACGTTACATAACCCGAAGAAGGGAGTTCATACGTTGTCTGTGTCATGACCATCATAAACAATCTACAGGGTATCACGGATGAGGATGTGAAAGCCAGGTAGGATAGGAATGGAAAACCAAGACAGACCTTCATTGATCTGAAATGAGTCTGGAAGTCTGCCGCAGTAACTCAGACTAAAGAACAGGATTCGGTTTTTTAACACTAATGTTAAGTTAATGATTGCCTTTTTTATATGGATTAGAGACTTGACGCTTTTGTCACGAAAAGCATTTCCAACAGGCTACTCCAGGCCTTTATCCACTTCTGCCTTCGCTCCATACTGTAGATCCTATGGCTATTTGAAAACGGTAAACAACACGGAAGTCTGACAGCGAATCAACCAAGAATCTATTGTCTATCTTAACTTTAGAAAGAAATGTATTTGGATGGATTGTGCATACGTTGAGAAGTTCGTTCAGTTACATTACACGCCAGTCAGGCCCCCGAGTGGCACCCAAATGGTAAAAGGCGAGTTTGGCGTCAGAGAATGGCATAGATGAAATCAATATAAAGAGGAGGAGATAGAGGAGCCAGAGAAACAGAATAGGATGAGGATTTGTTATTGAAGTCAACTGTTCCACTCGAAACTGAAGAGAATAATAATCCTTTTATAATTATCACTCAATAAATACCTCTTACATAAGTGGACTTGTGACTAGTTGACTTAGGCGATCGACTTTCAACCAATAATAAGTCTCTTGTTCTAATCTGTCTGCGCCTACTTCAGCCCCTAGGCAGCTGGACAGCATCAGTAGGCCTCACTAAAACAATAACTACGGCTCATGTGACTTGTAAATGACAATCATATTTCCGACAACTGCATTAGAACCCACTTCTACCTGATAGTTATTCATATAGAACAACCGACAAGTGTTGTTAATAAAGCAGGATTAAATGGACGCCTGCAATCACAGTGTGTTTCATCAACGAGACGGCAGATTCGTGAATGTATATATATGAGTAAACCTCCAGAACTATTTTCAACCAGTGGTTAGGACTCTCGCCGACCATGCACATGGTCCGGGGCTCGAGCCCGCACCGACGCACATCTGATATCTATGGTCGGCCTGCAAAATTTGGGCTACCGATATCCATGCTGAAAATCCCATACTTGTACCGAAAATACAGTGTGGAATCAAGCTGTAAATCAAAAATAAAAAATAAAAAAAAATACAACGAATAACGAGATTATAAGTAGGGATTAAAATCGTATTAATAGTATAAATACTTTGGATAATAATGATTATTGAGAAAATTGACTATTCATGATGGCCATTGCTGTAAAGACAATGGGGGTTGAACGTACTTCTTTCGAATACACATAGCTTTGGCTTGAGTTTTATTTGAATCGTTAGTGCTGGAGCTACACCCAGATGTCTCGATGTCACTCTCCTTTAAAGAGAAAGGTTTGATCGGAACTGGTATATAGGATATTGAAAGACATTCCGAATGGGGCCGTGTTCTGAGTTGCCAGATGTTCTTTTACCGAGCTATAAAGATAAATTTACGTTTTGTGCCTCTCTAAGGAGAAAAATGAACCTCATCTATTCTATTTCCCTAAAGATTCGAAAAATATACACCAAGGATTCTAACGATGAAGACCTATGGTCTCCAAAGAATCTATACGGAAAGTGGTTTCCAGGTGGTTCGATATCTGATAACGTTTCTTATCCAAACTTCCTAGTTATTTTTGATATCATTGTAATCATTAAGTTTCTAATCCTTATTTGTAATCTTGTTATAATTCATTATAGTTTGGTCCTCGACCAGAAACGATTCTCGAAATTTCCCATACACGAATGTACAGCCTAGTTGATGGTGAATTCGTCAGAATGACAAATTTTCTTCTTGGAAATTAAAGACAACTCACGACAAACGTTATCAGAAGATAAAATCATGTCATTCTTGGGGAATTCAAATATATTTTCACTGAAGTCATATGTTGTCTAGAAGGGTAACAGTGAAAGCTCAGAGAACAACACAATCACATGAAATTTATTAAAGATATGTCTTCAAATGACTATGTAATGAACTTCTCCAAGTTCTGTTAACAAGAAGCAACCGATAAGCTCCACCATATTGAATGTGTATTTGTAAAGTGGTTGCTTATTATCGATTTTATAGGATAGCGATAGCGTCGCCTCATGAATGAGCTTACTTCATTTATAACTTCAACATTCTTAGTTTTGTCTGTGATAGTCATTTAGTCTCAAAATTAATGGGACAATAAAAGGTACTTTACCACCCGTTCTCTAACTTCCAATATTTTCAAGTGTCAAGTTGGGCAACTGTTTCGTCCCCCTAGTTTGGGACCCTTTAACAGTATGTAACCACTGGTATTCGGACCCAATACTCCCTGGTTTGAAATTGAAACATTTCCCTAGTTAATGATATCTACCATGTAATTGTCTCAAAACTTCTTAAAAATCTAAACGTTTCTTTGTTTGCTTGCCTCTTTTTTCCATTATTTCAGTATGATTCATAAAGTGATCAAAATATACAATGATCTTGGTGCATCAGATCAATGTTTAATTCATCTAAAAAATTCAATCAATAATAACTATTCGTCTCATTCATTATCATTGTCCTATGAAGAGATCAATGGTGTGACCTTGAATCAGTATGATTCTACTACTATGAATCAAACAGACTTAATCTGTTTTGGTGGTGGTTATGATTTAGGCTATCTAAAATCATTGAGCATTGAAGGCTGTTTAAAATTGCAGAAATATATAAAAGAAAATCATGGAAAATATTTGGGTATCTGTGCTGGTGCTTATTTTGCTAGTGATTATTGTCAGTTTGACAAAAACGGACCACTTGAAGTTTGTGGAGAAAGACATATTAAGTTATTTCGAGGTTAGTTGAATGTTATCATCATCATCATGTTCATTACGTCAACAGTCGATTAATTGAAAATCTGAAAGATTCATTCAGTTTTCTCTGTTGAAAAATATTCACGTTCTTCGGTGTGTTTCGTTAAGTGACTGATATAGACTAACATGGACATAGAACTTTCCTCTGAAGTACACCTGAAATTCAAATTGACACACTCCATGTAGCACAAAAAGTTAGACAAAAGAGAGTAAACAAGAAATTCAAAAGAATTCTAACGAACAGAATTATACGGGAGAAAGAATAATTACATTGAGAGCGATGAAAACACGGTCATTCTGAGGGGTTACACAGAGTGAATGCCTCTGCATTACTAACAGCCGTTTTGAGGCATAGCTGAAACAGTTTCCAGCTATTAAATCTTAGCATCTCAAGGACCCCAGCCTGCCAGACAGTCTACACCTTCTTAGGTGGCCAGCTCAAATCACTTGTCAAAAACATCTTGAACTTATGCCAGGTTCTAATTTGACCCGCCTTTTAACTCTTTTCCAACTTGATTCTACCTCACCTAATACTGCTTGTCGAAGCAGAAGGTAGCTTTGCGTACTTAGCACATGTCCTGACTATCGCAATCGATGTAGCTCCACAACCTAATCGATAAGCTTCCTCTCCTTACCTAACACTCTACGATTAACCCCAATAATACTCACCCTATTATACCACCTAACATGGGATATAGGACGCAAACACCTATGATCAAAGACAGCTAGCCAGGCTTTTCATGTTATCCGCTTTCAAGTGGCCGTGTCTCACAACCATAAAAGAGGACAGAGTGAAACACTGCTGTGAAATACTCACATTCTTTGATTGATAACCATCCAGATATCACGTCTACACCAGACATGATGCAGGTTGGTGAATTACACACGAGTCTTTTGTGTATCCGTGCTGAGATTTCATCAGTAATCAATCCACTGGGGCTAATACAACTTGAGAAGGAAGTAAAACGGTCAACACACTCAACCAATTTACTGCCTTTCTTTAAGCTAGGGATTGATGGCGTCCAGTCCTGTAGCCTCATCTTGTACTTGACAGGAACGCGTCTCGTGCTAAACGTTTGAATATTTCCGTTCACGGTGTTCAGTAGATTCTGCGTTTTATCAGCGTCTTCCACACTTAGGAGGACTATGTCATCCTCATATTCTAAGTCAACATGACTGTATCCTGTGGTAACAATTCAATCTATGATTCGTTGAAATCAGCTGGGGCTATTTTCATTAATACATCAATGGTAATAATAAAGAGTTATCTGTCTGTCTAATTTTTTTACTTGTACTACCGAAAGGAACTGCAATAGGTCCAGTATATCCGGGGTTTCAGTATAACAATGAGAGTGGTAGTTATGCAGTGCCAATTGAAGCTACATTGGAGACAATAAATCCACAGAAGACAGTAGTCTATTATAACGGCGGATGTACATTTAAATCTACAAACTGGGAGAATTCACGAGTACTATATAAGTAGTAAGTTTGTTTCCAGATTGATTTTCCCATTGATTGATTCACTGATGGATTAATAAATTGTGTTGGACCGAAATGCTCACTGTGTCTTTGTTGACATGTCAACGTTGTCTCTCAGTACACTGATGCTTCGATAATGGGTAACTCTTAACTACAGAGATCTAAAAGAAAGACCCAAGTAAACGGAAGTAATGGCTTTAATCAACCAATCAGATGAGCCCGTAGTAAATGCACGTAATTTAAAAAACTCTCCTATAGACATCGGAATTAGTGTGAAGGAAGTAGTTAAACGGAGTAACTGTGTCTTATGTATTGTCTCATATAAACCTCCTAACTCCTGATTGGAGTCATCAGTGATAACCCAAATGCCTATTTCTGTGTATAAATTCATCTGGATAACTGTGTGTTATGCTGTTTCGTGATGCATTTACTGCTCTACAGCATCCATGAATCTAGAAAAGGAAGGTCATGGGTTTCCAGAGAGATTTCTTCTGTAACGATATCTACAGACACATGCGTGAGCAGTGGCTGCATACCTCTGTGAGGCAATTACTGCTCTACATCCGCGAGCTTCCCATAAATCTCCTATCCCTGTGGTTCTGAAATGCTACCTCCTCATGTAATTTGCTGCGTAATGAGTATTCTGCACCCATATTTTCGCGTTTTTGTTATAGGATTGTCTTATTAGCTGGAAGAGGCGATTAAGTCTGTTTTTATTGGGTGGCTTCGTTTTGGGTTACTGTAGTTTAGGGTTACCCGACATTGTTATCTAATGGAGGTTAAGGTGAAGTCATTTTTGGTTAGTTGGGGATGACTGCTAGCTGTATGGCATTCAAGATGCTCGCTCAAGAGGTGGCTTTTGTGGCCCAGTGGGTTGTGCTTTGGTGTTTTAAACGACGAGCTTCTGTAGGAACATCATCTCTCACTTACTAGGAACGCAGTTCGATTCTTTAGGATTACTATATTGTTTTATTGTTCCTTTGAGTTCTTACTGTGACAACACATATCCACTTTGTTCTATTTTATGCTATCCTCTCTAGGTGGTGTCACGAGGGCTTACAATCTCTGGTTAGCGTGTTAGAATTTCTTGTTGTTTGTCCTTTCTGATCGGTCATCTGATCTTGAGTATTGAGAGGGGCGTGGAAGTAACACTTGCTCCAAGTATCTGAATCATACAGAAGTACTCACTGACTTGGCATTCGTATTAAATAGTCAGATCTTGTTAGTTGTGTTAGCTGTGTCAACTGCGTAGCACCTCACCCAGTCCTTCTTCATGGATTTGACTGAGATATGACCATTGAAAGTGGAAGATATGAGAACAGGCTAGATTTCTTTGATTGCAGATGTTTGCGTACTGTTTCCTATGTGTTCAGTGGTATAATATAGTGAGAAATAGTGAAGTTAGGCACAGAGAATTAAGTGAGGAGGAAAAGTCAATCTATGAGGTTGTGAAGGTGAATCGATTGAGATGAGTTTATGTGTGTGTTATGTGCAGTGGGGTAATTTAAACTGGTGTACTTCTACGTTGAAACTCTGTCAGCTAACACTGAGTGCTGCCTAGTCTTTTACTAACTATGGAACCTAGAACCTTAGATACCCTATCTTAGTGATTATCACGAAAAGTTTAGTCTCCTTACAATTTAAACTATTTCCTATTTTTGATTACAGCTTGATTCCAAACCATATTTTTGGTACATGTATGGAATTTTCAGCGTGGATATCGGTAGCCCAAATTTCGCAGGCCGACCATAGATATCAGGTGTGCGTCGGCGTGGGCTCGAACCCCGGACCATGTGCATGGTCGGCGAGAGTCCTAACCATTGTGCCACCGACGCGCAACCAACGATCTGTATCATTTTGTGTTAGCGAATATTTCAGGATCGAATACATCAACTTACGTCACAGTTCTGTCTGTCTGTCTGGATTCAACATAGAACTTGGCACCGAAGTGCATTAGTTCGAGTTGCCACCTTCCAAATAGCACACAGAGGTAGACAAGAAAATGAGTAAAGAGAATCAATACAGTCTGACAAGTATATGAGTGAAACAGAATGGGTAATGGTAGAAAGGAATATGAAAGATTACAGAGACTGAATACATCTGCGCCATGGACAACGATTTTGAGCCATGTCACCTATTGCCTCCAGCCATTGATTCCTAGAGTCCCGAGGCCCCCAACCCGGGAGTCTGCATCTCCCTACCTGACTCAGTTTAACTGTCAAGGATTTCATGGTTTGAGGCCATGTTTTTGTTTGGCCACCACTGGCTCTTTTCCAACCTTCACCTATATCAGCTAGCAATGCCCGTCGGGGGAGGCGGTGGTTAGGCATGCGCACCACGTGACGTGCCTAGCCATCTTAGTCTATGTAACTTTATAGCCTCGTCGATTGATTTTCCCTCAGTTAATCTATTCAATATCCGATCACCATCAAACTTAAACACCTCTGGAGTCGTACCATTAAGTCTTATCGGCTTACCTCAATTTTTGATCAGAGACAACTTTTAGCATCTCTGTTGGTGAATCTTTGTGTACATTGCATATGAAAAACAATATGAGTTACTGTAAGCATGTATATTTTAAATTGATATTCCACGATAGATATGACTTTTCAGTATGAATTACAGTCAATATAAATATACTGAAAAACAAAACAAGTGATTGACCGAACAAACTTTGATTTTCTCTATGTCCCGGTGGGAATTTTCCATGATTTACAACAATAAATATACTGCTCATAATACTGAGGATGCAATTGAATTCGAATTCGAATGAGATTTTGGATGCGTACTTCTGAAAAGTATGGAAATTAGGATGGACTATTTATTAACTTTGAACAAGGCATTAAGAAGACAAATTTCGCGAGATGATATCATTTCGTAGTTTCTTTACAACTGCTACTTGGCTTTTTTTTTATTTGCAGCTTGATTCCACACTGTATTTATGGTACAAGTATGGAATTTTCAGCATGGATATCGGTAGCCCAAATTTTGCAGGCCGACCATAGATATCAGGTGTGCGCCGGCGTGGGCTCGAACCTCGGACCATGTGCATGGTCGGCGAGAGACCTAACCACTGTGCCACCGACGCACAGTAGTCTTCCTCTGAATGTTACTGGTTCTTAAATGAATCTATCCGGTGTTCTAGTGGGAAGTCGTAACCAGAGGGATCCACCAGTTCAGGTAAGAGAACAGTCACTGGCCGATTACACTGGCTAGTGGCAGGTGCACTGTATTTACAGTGAATTTTTAGAGGTTAAAATTCATGGGCCATTAGATCGGGTTCTAGCAGATGAGTGGACCATAGGTTCGTTTTGTACCTAGAAGGTACTGGGTTAGTAGAAACCCAGTAGGTGCGCATTGATGATGGGTTCCATACTAGGACGATACAGTTGCTCAACTGTACAGTACGGGTTTTCCAATGGCTTTCTAACTGGTGCCAACTCATGGTCAAACCTCTAAGTAGTCAAATTCCTGGAAACCAGAACTCGATAGTCAATTAGAAATCAACACACATACTGAACATATGTTTTATTTTTCATGCCATATGCATTCTGAGTGAAACATAGGGTTTCAAGCTTTGAGCTGTTGCAGTTTCAGTAGCCGTGGTGTTTTTTATTGTTGACAGTGTGCAGTTGCTAACTTCTTCCCTCTTTCCCTAAATAGTAAACCAGGTGAGGTTTAAAAGTGAGTTGGTCAAGAATCGTACCTGATCCCCTGGCATGGTTGTTAGGCTAGCATTCTATCATTCAACCACTGAGCAACCAAAAATCAAATATTTACAGGTTGAACACTTTTAACAGAAAGCGACACTTGATCAAAGTGAACTATATAAGTTTGTGATTAAAACTCACGTGTGAAGTGTAATAAGGCTATTGTCTCGTTGTTGTAAACTTCCGTAAACTTTCCTTATAAAAGATAAATTACTTGTAAGTAGTATCGTTTAGTTTTACAAATAGACAAACTTTGTCGATTCTTGTCAGTCCACATGTCAAATCTTTAAACTCTGTATACAGAAGAAGAATCAGTAGAAGGTTGTGCAGTTACTGAACCTACAGCGAACGTAATTTATCGCAACACTTGATAAGTAATTTTTCCTGGTCCTAACTGTTTATTTTTAGCTGGTTCCGCAATTATCCATGGTCTTTCATTTACTGCTGACGCGAACAATCCCTCTGTGTCACTCAATTCGTCGTTCCCCATTTATGTTTTACTAGAGTGATGGCCCGGCGTATTACGTCACTCGACGGTGTATCCAATCCAATCATGTATATTTCCCTCTGCAAATATATTGGGCGATAGGTTCTTGGTTCGTTCGCTACCATAATTCTTTGCAGCTAATTCTTCCTCTCTGGCCATCTGATCATAAGTATGGAGTGAAGGGGCTGGCTGTTGATAGAAGTCGGCAGCCGCCAATCGAAAAGGCTTTTCGTGAGGCGATTCAATTTGAGGGCTTCAAACTTTAAAATCTCGGTGACTGTGGTAATTCTTTTGTGGAGAGAGTTCGATAGCCTCACACCCAACCTTCTATCTTCTCCAGTTTACTACTGGCTAAGTGATGTGTAGAAGGATCTCGTCTGAGAATCAATAAATCTCAGACTAGCCGGTTGGCATCCCACGTTTGAGCTTCTGACCTTTATTCTCAGTTGACTGCCCTTATGTCTTTTCCAGCTGACTCATATTTCAGATAACAATGCTCATCAAGGTAATGTAAAGGCTTGACATGCGTAACATATATCCTAACCGCCTCAATCACTTCACCTTCACGACATCATTAACTAATTTCATCTCCTTATCTGACCATCTCATTACTACTCAGCACGTTAAACCACTTAACCCATGAGAGATGGAACGCAAACATCTGAGGTCAAAGATAACTAGTTAGGTCTTTCATATCTCCCATTTTCAATGACTGTGTCTTACAGACATGAAAAAATACAGAGAGAAATGCTACTAAGCGATAGCCAGATTTCATGTTTACTCTGAGGTTGACGTATTTTGGCCAGTGCTACACGAGCTTTTTGTATCCATGCTGTGATTTTGACGGTAACCAATCAGTCTATTAGTGCTGACGCAACTTCCCAAACAAGTGAAGTGGTCAAAAGTCCTAGCCACTTCATTACCTATATATATACCCAGAGTTGACGTACATCAGTCTTGCAGCATTATCTAACTCCCCAGAGGAGCGCTTCGCGCATGTTAAATATACTAAGATTTCTGCCCAAAGTTTCCGAAAGACTGCATTTTGTCAATCTCTTCATCCGTGTAATCTAAGTCGACTGGACTGTCCCTTGACGCCTTAAACAATTAGTCTTCTAGGTGATTATTTATTGGACACCTGTTAACTGAACGCCTACTTAGTACGAGAAATTACAATCAAAAAAGCAGACTTGGGTACATGACGCTACATACTACTGATTGGTTGATATCAGTAGGTGGATACCATTCAAATATCAGCTAAGAGTGCTTGCTGGCCAGTAGTAAGGAGTCTTTGAAGTCCGTTTCGTCATAGTTCGGGACTCTTCATCGGTGCGCATTCATGACTCCACCTTCAGAGATCGAACCACTACGGCTGTCATGTTTCGAGGTGGTCTTGCTAACGGCTCAGAGATTGCAATATGCCATGGACCCTAACTTTTGCGAACCAATTTCGTCGGTGAGTATTTACCCTCACACTTCTCTCCGCTTGTTTTGAATCTCACTGTTCACAACTTGTTAGTAAAACTTCAAGCTAATTCGGCTTCCTGTAGACACTCAATCGATCACCAGTGAGCATCGGATTATTTTTATATGCATTATGTTTGTTCCAAGTTCGATCACGTGTTGATTTTGTTGTTTTTATCGTCTATCATCTAATTTCAACTAACATTTTCCCTTAATTCCAGTTCAGATAATGGGAAACCAGCGATAATCTTCTCGAATCTAGGCAATGGTTGCGGTATTCTAAGTGGCGTTCATTTTGAATATGATCCATACCTATTAGAAAAGCAGATCTGTGCTGGTCAGAATCATCTTGACGACAGTAATCACAGTTATAAAGTGATTGAAAAACTGAAGGCGAATAATTTAACACGTTTACAATTATTTAAAACTTTAATTGAGTTATTGTTGTCTGATGCTAACAGCAGTTGTTCAGAATTATTTTCTGCGTAAATTTGTGAGAGATCTTTTGCTTATTTGCGTGATTTCGAGTGTATACACATTACATTTTCAATATCTATATTTTTTGAATTTTCAGTTTTCGCACGCAACTCACATCAATCAGTCAGCAGTGCTTTAAAGCTAGACAACCAAAATGAGGTGATCTAAACACCGAACCATAGCTGTTCCACTCGTTCAGGGCCGAGATTATCAAAGGTGTACCGGGTTCTGACTCTCTTCATATGCTGCAGTTCAACTGAGGTCATCAATAACTGTGAAATATTGCTTAGATAGTCTTTGGAAATCACCAGTTTGAGACTCATCCGGTTATAAGCACCGGAAGTTTGCATTCGCCCCTTCCACTTTTATGAAAAACACCTTTGCAGGTGCATGAAGGCAGTGAACTTGACTTACCTTGTACAGGCAATGTAGTTGAGACCGCATGAGAGTATTTTGAGAGGACGATCGAAGTAGAAACCACCCTCAAGCATATCAGGTAGTTTTCGCGCAATTTGAGACTACCTGTCATCAGCAGTGCCTTCCCCATAATCACCCCACAAAGAGAGATTGAATCACCCAGGACCTTCAGGTGACTAAGTGATCCCTGTTGACTACTATTCAGTCACTGAGGTAGAGCGCTAATGCGTATGAATTCTGGCCTCTGCCAGTTCACAAAACATATATATATATATATATATATATATATATATATATATATATATAGCCCCACTGTCATCCAATGTTATCGGCAAGTATTTTGACCCCGTTGATCAAAACCTCTCAGTAGGTGCTTCGTTCTGTAGTCAACCACTACTGCTGAATTTCAGAGAAGAGTTTGATTGATTTCTAGTTAGATCTTAAGCTGATGATACGTCAGCAGGAGAACCACCTAGATTACCGAACAGCTCTGTTTTGTCCCTCTAGTTTGGGTGACTACCTCGCCAGGACTTTCAGGTTGCAAAGCGCGCCTATTGATGACAATTAAGCCACTGGGACGGAGATACATATGGTCCTTAAATTGTCACTTCCGCCGATTTCCAAAATGTATAGGTGGTATTTATCTTCGTTTTGCTACCCAAATAAAGGTTTCGGGTTCGACACCCAATGGGGTTATGAGCATGTAATTCTGCTGAAGAGTCACAGGCAAGCAAGTACACCGTCGTGGATTTTCAGTAACTGTTTCTCTCAAACTGATGTCGTCGGGTCGCAAGTCTAGCTTGGGACTGGTGAATGCTTGTCAATATGACCAATAGAAATTTGAAGTAGTGGCCAATAAGAATAATATTTTACAGGGTATGGTGTATTCATTTTCACCAGCGTCATATAACCTGAATAATAACAAAGTAAATACGTAGTCAATGTGACATAATTTCTGACATATTTTAACAGGGAATATCATTTTTACTTCTATTGTCACCTTAAGTTCTCAGACGAAGATACGGCACAAACAACACATCTCCTCTTTGCTCTATTTTGTGCTGTCCTCTCTAGCTGGGACCACGATTGATCATAATCTCTGATCGCCTCCTCAGAACACAATCTCCTCAATATCGCCTTCAGACGACACACTTATCTCTTTCTATTCAGTTTTCACTCGAGTGATGACTTGGAACGTGATGTCATTCAACACTTCGCTCAGTGTGTGTTCACGATCCATTGTAACATTCTTCTGCCTACCTGTTGGTTGGGCGATAGGTTCTTGGTTAGTTTGTTCCCATAGTTTCTTGATGCTAATTCTTTGTGACCGACCGACCGACTGACCGGCCGGCCATTTGATCTTCAGTATGGAGCGATAGAAGACAGTTGTTGACAAAGGTGTACAGTAGCCTGTTGGAAATGCCCTTCGTGAATCGAATGCCAATTTTCTGACTCATATAGAAGAGATGATTGACTGACTTAACATTTGTGTTGAAGAGGATCGGAATTTTGTTGTTTATGCTGTGGTGAAGTGTGGAAGATTTCCAGACGGATTTTAGATTGATGAAGATTTGTTTTGCGTTACTGATTCTGAGTGGTTTTGACATCTTGATGCGTTGGGTTGGCTGTGGTTGTAATGATGCTTCATAGGTAAGTGAAGGAAATTAACCCTTTTGAATTTCTTCTAGGGATAGCTAGATCATTATTTAAGCGAATAAAATAAGCTGTGGAAAATCGAAACGTGGTGTAAATTTTACGGGAATTCTGAATGATTACTTATAACCGAAACCTAGGCATTCTACATATAATGGAGAAGAACTGCAGCTCAGGTAGATGATTTTGATTCAGGTGTGTTCTCTGTCTAAGCAGTGTGACTTAATTGCGAAACGTTCGTCATCCTTCTAGACAACTTCTTCAGTTGACGTTTCGAATTGAATCAATCAGCTCAGATAACGAAAGTAAATCAAAATCATTTCTATGTAATGTAAAAATAAGAATATTTTGGAATTTAAGGGTAATTCACTCATAGGTGAACGTGGTTACGTAAACATATAAAGGATCATTCCCTGAAAAACAACACTTAAATAATAATAATAATTATAACCAAATATTTTATTATTTACTATTATTTCTTCAAATATCTGAGGTATTTTTTGAACTTTTTTTCGTTCTAATTTTGATTTATTATTTCTAAATTGTTTTATCTAATGTTTTAATGATGATTGACAGTGAAGGGGATGAACTAAAAAAAACCCCAGAAAGACTCCAGTTACATAATAATATGAACAGCACACACATACACACAAATAAAGATATACTAATAACAGCTTGAATTTTGTTTAAATGATTTGTATTCGACGCTACTGAACTCTCTCTCTCTCTCTCTCTCTCTCTCTCTATATATATATATATATATATATATATATATATATATATATATATATATATATACTCAAGATTAAATATTGATAGGAGAAACAACATACATACACATTGACAGATGCACATTCATGATATCATCGGTGCATATCTATATGACTGACTGACTGGTTTCAACGTAGAACTTTGTACAGATGTGCTGCAGTTCGAGTTGCCACACTTCCTTCATTTAGCACACAAAGAAGGAGAGGAAAGTAAAGAGAGATTCAAGAGAGAGATAATAAACAGAAATACGAAGCGAAAGAAATAATAATATGCGAGAACAATATAGTCTTATTGTATACTATAAATCATAAAGAGTGAATGCATCTGCACCGTGTATTATTATTATTATTCCCTTGGGTTCCTAGTGTCCGCTAGTAGAAGTCTCGTACTCCAGTGTCAGAACCTTAATTGTTGTTCACTTGGGTTCCTAGTGGAACATTGGACTTTAACTGCACGTCTCCACTTGCTTCTGTCTTCCTTCTGCCGTACTTTTCACCTGCATCCATGTTAGTCCATACTATTTCAACTCCTCTTCACACGAACTTCTCCTTGGACATCTCACTCGCCTCTTCCCTTTCAAGTTCCAACCGAGGGCCTGACGCTCAATGTCACCAGCCGGCCTCCTTAACGAGTGTCCAATCCATATCCAATTTCTCCTGCATATTTGTTGGTCGATTGGTTCTTGTTTTGTTTGTTCCCATAGTTTTTTGTTGGTGATTCTTTTCGACCCGGCCATCTGATCTTCAGTATAAAGCGAAGACAGTTGTTGATAAAGGTCTGCAACCTTTTGGAAATATTCTTTGTGACCCGCCAAGTTTCTGATCCATATAGAAGAACTGACTGACTTGATGTTTGTATTGAAAATCTGACCGAATTTTGTTGTTGATGCTGGCTGAGTGACGAAGATTTCCAGATTGGTTTCAGGTTGATGAATGTGTTTCTCGCCTTCCCGATTCTCGATTTGACATCCTCGTCCGTTCCGGCTGCCTGTAGTTGAGACAATGCTCCCTAGATAAGTGAATGAAGTAACATCTTTCAAATCCCTCCCGTTGATGGTGATTGGCGCTGGATGTTGTTGTTTTTGGTTGTTCACCTGGAGTCCTGTCTTAGCCGGCTGCTTCTCTGACTGGTTTGTCGGTTTTCGCTTGTAAGTCTTCGATTTTGTGTGACATCAAACATAAATCATCTACACGCGAAATCCAGGTCTTCTAGGTTCTTCATGTCGGTCCAGGATATCCCTGTCTTCTCCACGCATTGAGAACAATTTTGATCCATATCACCATTTGTCTCCAGCCATTCCTTTTTATCATCCTAAGTGCCCCAACCAGACATCATTTAACATATCTCTACGTGGCTTAAACTAACTGTTATGTGTCATCACACTCAACCTGTTGCCAGGACTTCAAGCAGCTCTTCATGTTGCATAAAACCACATACTTCTGATTGGTTGAGGTGAGTAGTTACATGCCACACATATCAACCAGTAGTGAAAGCTGGCCAGCCAAATCGAAGTGATCTAAACATCAGATGGGGAATTCCCTCGTTTGGGACTGAACTCATCAGTCTGTGATGAGCCGGGATACAGCTGAATCACTTCAAACCACCTCAAATTATGCAAATGGCGAATGAATATGCTAGCCAGAAATTGGATAGTTTCATTGATGATTCATCTGTTTGAACTCAGTCGTACCGGAAACGCTAGCAATAAGCTTGGTCTTAAATGGCTGAAACTGCTGTTTGGAGTTTAGAGCACGTTTGGTTTGTTTAGCAAACATCACTGGTTAGTATGAGTGGTGTACGACATCAGTGGCTCAATGGCAGAACACTAAATAGCTACGCAAATGCTGCGGGTTCCGATCCCCAGCCAACACATACCTCACTTAGCTGGTAATAAGCCAGTTTAAGAGGGAATGTTTAGCGTGAGGTTAACAACTCTGTCCCATAGAAACACCCAGCGCTAATAAAACTTCGGAGCTCCAGACTAAGGCCCTATGTTCCATTGGGAATGAGAAGGAATTAAATGAAAAATAAAATTAGTGATGTTCAACTACTCATCTCAATCACAAAATATACACATTAGATCATATGAGGTATAAAAGGACAGTTTCAGAGAAGAAAATTCTTTTTTCGACGAAGTCATCATCAACTAGGCTGTGCATTCGTGTATTCATAGTAAATGGGTGAGAAAGTCCAAGAATTCTTTCCGGTCAAGGGTCAAAATAATAAAATTGC